TTTTTTTTTTGGTATAATGAGGGAGGCCAAACGCCTAATGGATTAAGTTGCACACGGTTCCAGAGTAAGCTACGCCAATAAGGATGTAGTCACTGTCAAATACCATCAGGCGGAGCATTAAATTAGTTAGTTATTATTAGTAACTCTATTTTATCGATTACTCATAAACCAAACATTGCATATCGCAACTAATTACATAATTATTATTTCTGTAACAAACGGCGGAAAAGCGGATGCGGTTCCATGCACGTGTGAAACGCACAGGGTGCGGTTACACGTGCGTGAAGCGCACCATAACAGGGTGAGCCTAAGTGCGTCATAGTGAGGTTCCATCATATAACCAATTGGCGGTAGGAGGATGAGTCCACTAAGCTTATAAGTCAGATCTATATTTCGTTTATAAACGATGTGGGACAACTAACAAGTGATATTATATCTAAATATTTCATTATTTTGAATTATTCTATTAGGTCTAACCGAATGTTAATTGTAGATAATAAAAAATATTTTAAATAAATAAAATATGGAAAAAAAAAAAGAGGGGGTGTAGCATTAGCTAAAGAGGAGGGCAAAAAGAGGCTCAAAGGACCGCTTTGGACCACGGTCCAACCTGTCAGAGGTGGCTCCCCCACTCTTTCTAATCCATGTCAATACGGCTCACCTAGGAAAATTACAAAGTTTCAATCTTTGTACTTATGTGAGCCATGTTTTTCTTTTTAAATCAATGAACTTTTATTAGGATAAATAAATATGTGTGTTTCTAAATTAGACCATAATAAGAGACTCATAAAAACAATGAGGCTAAAAACAATGAGGCTAATTGAATTTTTGTAATTTGGTCCATTGTTTGCTGAAATGAATTTTTTGTTCAAAGTTGTTTCAAAATTGAGGCTGTGATTTCAAAATTGATTGTGAATATTCTAAAGTCAATTATGTATTTAACTATTTAGTACTTTTCCGTCATTCAAAACCAATGGGATTGAAAATTTTTTAGACTTTATGGTTCTACTCTGAATCTTTTAATTATAGTAAGTATTCAAATCAATAGAACTAAAAGGCTATTTATTTGTTTGTTTTTATGCATTTCATTGTGTTTATAATTCTATCTTCTATGTTATTAGGTATGTCTGATACCCCGTCATCTCCATTCCATGGATCGTCTACATGCCTAATGGATAATTTAATTCAAGATATATGTTGTTGTTTGAAAATGATGGTGTTTCTCACCAAGAAGACATCTAGGAGGAGGATAAAATCCCGATGCTTCATTCCAAAGATAAAAATGGAAGAAAACGGCTAAATGCTGGAATGAGATGAAGGCTTATACCGACGCAAATGGTCCCAGATGGCCAAATGAAACTACTGCCGTGAAAAGTTATGAGTGAAGTGTGAACAAGCATGAGCACCACCACTCAGCTTAACAGGCACTTGAATTCCTTTTTGCAAAGAAAAATTCAGCTTGACCAAAATCCTAAGTTGAAGCAACAGGTCTTGCATTTTCACAATCTGAGGGTGTTAGTTTGATTAGTAATTTTATGTACGACTATGCTAGACTCCGGGAACTTGCGGCATAAATGCTATTTTCTTCATTTTTTCCTTCTTCCTCTTCGACTTTAACTGCAAGACAGAAATACCAGACATCCCCAAATTTCCCTCGTCCTCGACATTTTGTGTGTCGGAGTTTTGTTTGATGTTGGGGAAGGCATTGTTGTAGGTTCTAGTTTGAGTGGTGTTTTTTATTTGTGTTTGTGTGTGGTCAGTGTGGTGTTTTGAGTTTTAGGGTGCGAAGTGTTTGTGTTGTTTTGGTTATTATTCTCCATTATTTGAGGTAAATTTTTCGCTTGTGAGTGTTCATTACTATTTTATCTTAGTCATCTGAGTCTGTTTAATGCGGTTGATTGTACGTTACATTCTATCGATGTGTCGTAGTATAGATATCTCTTTCAATTCGGTTTTATAATTGCTTTTCTTTCTACCGATGTGTCGTAGTATAGATATCTCTTTCAATTCGGTTTTATAATTGCTTTACTCGGTTGTTATTAGTTGTTTTGAGAATTGTGAATATGTATTTATTTTTAAAATCTATATAAGAAAAAAAAAATGCAATCTTAATTGGGAACTGAAAGTGCCACGTGGCCTAGATGATGGAAATCAACGGTTCAGAAAACAGCCCCCAATTTGAAATCTCAGATACACTCGTGACTCGACATAAAAAACTTTTAGCTGTGAGATCGAATTGAAAAATTAAAAAGCAAAAAACAATGAGCCATGGGAGCTTGCCGACGGCGGCGGTGGCGGATGACGACGACCACCACGAAATATCGCTGTCGGCGGTGGACCTTAACATAATCGCTTCCGTTCAAGACCGCAAGGATGAGGCCCTTCTCGGTGAGTCGCTCACACACAATATTCCGATTCTTTCATATGTATTCTAGGGTTTCACTGATGTTGCAGCTTAATAAACTTAAATAGCTTAGAAATGTTATCTTATTTGGTGAATGATTGAAATGAATTATACTTTTTTTGCCATGGATGATCAAACTTGACCATAAATTAGTATTCACCCATTCTTTGGGCAGTTCTGAAGGCCGATTTGATGGACAAGCTCAATAAAGAGGTTAAATCCCTTGATGACGATAGCTGGATGTTTGATGGACCTCGATCTCGCATTCACCTGATCTCCAGACCGGGTATAGTTTTGAAACTTATCAGTATAGAAATCTTTTGGTATCGATTCAGTTTCCTAATCGGCTTATCCGAAGAAAGTATGAAAGAACCGAAACAGATGCTATTGCAATTTCATAATTGGTGTTTGGTGGATAAAAAGAAGACGAAAGGAATTGAAAAAGAACAGATTATACTGTGATCGGCACATAGTTTATGCCCTTCTGATGGAAATTAGTTTGGCTAAGAATAGAATGCCCTTTTGAGTTTTGACGGAAAATTGTTTAGCTAAGGATGCCCTTTTGTTAGTTTAGCTAAGTTCTGGATTTTCGCATATACGTCAATATCAGTTTTGATTCAGATAAGTTTCATTTTGGGTTAGATGATCAAGGTTTCTTTTTCTCTGAGAATTGTGCTTGGGTCGAGCCAATTATCTTTGCATCATGAGTTCACATCATTGGTGAGGGCGCTCAAAGAATCAATCGGATATAGGATCCAACGCAGATAACATTGGCGATGGTGATATCAAATCAATATAATATAATCAAAATGTATAAAATGATTCATTTAGTAAATTTTCCTTTGATGAATAATAGAACTTAGAGTATCATCAGACTCAAATTCTGAAGGTTTACCACGGGAAGTTTTGACACAATAAGCAATCTCATTAGAAGTTGTATCATTTTTGTATTTTTTAAGATTTTTCTCGTTCAAGATTTAACTCTGTTACAGTTCCCATTGACCGTCACCATCACTGCCTTTGTTCACAGGTAGCATTCGGCACAGGTGTTCAGAAATCTTAACTCGGCCGGATATGGGCCCACGGAAGTAATAATTACTATTTAGGTAATAGATCCCTTTTACGCGTCTGCCGGCATTCCATGGCCATACAGTGAAAGACATTATCCGATATTCAATGTTTTAGCAGTGTGTTGCCCCTAAAGTGCTGCATGTAACAATTTGTGACGGGAAAAATTTAGTTCACTTCGACGCGAATGATATTAGGTAAGGTTTTTGTGATTGCAATCTATATTTTCTGATGGTGTCATGTAAGAATGCAAATGGTCTCATGGGAAGAAAATGCTCTATGAGTGGCAAGAGGTCTAACGCGTTGATATCCTCCATAGTTATAGCTTCACTTTTAAAATTCGATTACAAAAAAATACAATAAAATCTACATGTCCTAAGTTACAAAAATTAAAATAGCTAGATAATTAATAATCCATGGAATTAACTATAAAGCATTAAAAATATAGATGATTTGTCTAATAATACAAGTCTATCAAGTCTAATACATATCACATTAGGTGTCCCAAGTCTATCAACTTTCATATACACATACATACACATGATTAAAAACAGGGAGTGTTGTCGAAGACGAGCATATTTTGAAAATTGTCAAATTGGTATAAGCGATTAAACTAAGCTATTGTGTTTTCATTTTAGTTTTGATTATTTGTGTAGGAAAATAGCATGGGTTTAGGCTAGCTAGTGAGATCTTGTATTTTCTTGTAAATACTTATGTATCTCATTCTATTGGATTTGTAAATTTATGTATAATATTGTTTTTGATTCGATTTAGTCACTTATATCCAAATTGAACCGAAAATTGTTATTATTTTTTAAACAAAACCAAATCAAATATTCGATTCCGATCCAAACGAAAAGGAGTCAAATATTCGGTTTCGATCCAATCTGAATTTTCCTTTTAGATTGTTTAGACTTAATTAACAATATTTTCTGCACCTACTGCCAAGGCATACATATGAAAGCCTAGGCAAGGATCATAAGGTTGGAGGCCTGGAAAATAATAATGCATGCATACCCAACCCACCCACTTGAAATGTGGTGGTGGTGATGCACTATTTTATAAATTTGATGATTTGTGCTTTAATTAATACCAAGGTGTTAATTAAAGATTATATCTATAAAGAGTAATAATAAAATAGAAATTATATTATATTTATTTTATTAAATATTTATTACAACTATATTATTTTCTATGTGTAATATGAATTTCATATATGATGTTTAATTCGATATATCACCATATCAATTATGTAAAAGACATAATATAAAATAATAAAATATATTAGTGACTAAAACTAATCAAGAATTTTTCAATTTTGATAATTATTTCAAATATTCATAGACAAAATTCCAAATCTATACAAAATTATTTTAGAATATCTGGACATGGCATGTAATTACGCAGGGTATAGATTTTGACTAGAAAATGGACACTGCACTTATATATAAATCATATTTTTAAAACCTTGACCGGCGATTGACCCGAGCTGGACTCCGAGTTACTAGGCACGGTCGTCGGGTCATCCAATCAATTAATAAACTGGTCACTAATTTTATAAAATTTAAATTATGTTTAGATTATATTTACCTTATAACGATACATAAAAGAATAAAATGAATTATTTATATGTAAATTTTGTACCGTAAAAGTCTTAATAATATTGTATTTTAATAAGAATATTTATCTCTCACACACATACACACATATATATATGCATATATATAATTTTATTTAAAAAAAAATGAAAAAATAAAAGAAAAAAATACTTATTGTCCAGATTACTGGGTCGATTGGGTCAAGGCCTCCGTCGGGTATTGATCGGGTTTGCTTGTGTCATTTGCTACTTGGTCCAAGATTCTGGGCCAGGTCAATAGGATCTCGGGTCAACCCATCCGATATGTCCATATCTCAAATAAGTAGAAAATGACAAAATGACAATAACTAGTACAACTTCCGTGTATTACACGAATGGTTGTTAGTTTTTTTTTAAAAAAAAATCTAAAATTAATGAGAAAAATAGGTAAAAATTTAAATACCTTTTATAAAAATATATATTATTATATATTTAGTATGACACTTTTTATTTGTGCGACTTACCTGTGTTATATTATAATATTTTTTTTAACTTACAACATATAACTACATTAAACATAATTATATCAATTGAGAAATAATTTTATTTTTCTAATGAATTTTAATAAATATAATTATTTATTATTATTATAAATATAAATATAATTTATTTATTTCAATATATACAATATGGATGTCAAATCGAAGATCATCAAAAAATGATTAATTTGATATATTATATATGTAAAACTGATAAGAAATACAAAAGTTATCAACTTTTAAAATATATTTACAATTCAATAGCTAATTGAAGGAAACAAATCAAAAGTCTGGATATATTAGTCACTTAATGTCTCACTATGTAAAATTACAAGGAATTAAAGGGTTATATTAGTACAATGATATTAAAATACCTAAGTTAGCTAAATAATATTTATGGAATGTC